GCGCGGGCCATAAAGGCTTGGCTCATAAAGTTGCGAGACGCTCCGCAATCAATCAAGGCACTACAGGTTGCCTTTCCGATTTGAATGTGGATATAGAGCAAAGGAGCGTTGGTTTCGGCGTACCTTTGGGTGGCGTATTCCGGTCAATCTTCGCAAGATAGGAGCGGAGATCGACAACCGCTACCCCGTCGCCCGTCAACGGAGCTGGTATTGTAGTGTGCAAATAGGAGCGTAGATTTGCCATCAAGGCATTGCAATGCGGCTTTGGCAAGGTTCCGGTCGAGGGTAGAGGCATCCAAGCGAAGTCCTCTCTCGTGAGCGGGTCAAGCTCCTCAAGTCTTGACCACGTCGTCGAGTCCTCGGAAGTCAGTGGCGAGCTGACCGGATCACTTGCCGACGGTGTACAGGCTGCGCATACGCAACCTAAGTGCACGTGGCTCGGCTGGTCTAGTGGTGGTACCAGCTGGGCGGCATAATCCTCGTACGTAGCACGAGAATCAGCGACTAACGCATGTCCCGGTAGTGACATCGATTGCTAGCAAGGCACCCTGATCCGGCGGAGTGAGGAGAGAAATCGCCCCTCTCCTTGCGTAACTTGGTTTCCCGAGTTAGCTGGACGGGGTACGCGTGCCTTCGCCTTTTCGGGGCACTGTGCGGTCAAGTGAGTGACTCCATTGCACCAAAGGCAATATCTGTACCGTTGACGAAGGTCATAGATTTCCTTGGTTATCTTGTATGCCGTCCATGGCTGCTGCCCAGTTCCCGTCGATGTCGTCTCTTGTGTCGCCTTGTTCTTCCGAACTCTCTTGGGACGCTTCGGCGGGAGTGCTGCTACAAATCCTCCATCACTCGAGGATGATGCTGCAGCGTGGAGATCGACTGTTTCGTCAGAAATAACGGCATTATTATGTGTCGGTCGTTGATAGCCCGGCTTAGCCACATAATGCGGCTGGGACTGCCGTTCGTTTGCGGCCTTGTCATCCGTTTGGATGACCAAGTTCGCACGATCCAGGATGGCCTGGAATGAGGCGTAATCGTACTCGTTGCCGAGTGCGGTTCGCAGTCCTGCGCACGACTGCGAGAAGAACTCGGATTGTTGGTTGGTAAAACTCAAATCGAAGCCTGGCGTGGTCACTATCTTTTGCCACTTGGTTGTCCAGTCTCGAGTTGGAATATTCCCTTGAGAGCAGGTGTACACCTCGTTCATGGCCGCCTTCACGACGTTGCGGACCATGAACCAAGTGAACCATAGCTTCTTGAACTCCTTCCACGGGATGTGCATGTGGAGTTCGGCGATGGTGCATTTCTTGGTAGCCGCTAGATGGTTCATCCAGGCCTGCGCTCCTCCAATCAGTTGTAAGTAGAGCGCCTTCATCATGTCGTCAGCCGGGACAGTGCGGCAAGATGCTTCCGTGAGGAAACTTTGCCACCAAGTCAAGGCGTCCGACTTGTTGTAGTCGTCGAACTTGCTGATGTCGAAGTGCGGCATCTTGTAATTCTTTGTAGCGGCGTCCGGTCTTGTCTGCAGTTTGGTGATGCTCGTCTTGATGGCGGCCACCGTGCTGCTGATCGTGGCCGGAGTAGTGAAATCACCTAGTTCGCCAATGATGGTGACGATGTGATCGATGCGCTCATTGAGTTGCTTCATCGCGTCTGTCATGCAGCCTGGCGCTGCTGAGGCCTTAGCCTCAATGTCGTTGATGCGTGCGAGAGTAGAGTTCAACAGCTGTTGCTGTTGCTGCTGCTGCGTTGCTGCGTCGCGGACGACAGCTGTTAAAGCGGCCACCTCTTGCTGGTGCTTTTGTCGTTGCTGTCGTTCCATGAGCAGGTGTGCCTGCAGCAGTTTGTTGTTCCACATTACTCCCCTCATCACGCTCAACATCAGGGTAGCCAGGTTACTTCTCTCTCCCTCCGCCTGTGTCGGAGCCGCCTGCGCTTCCGTAGGCACAAAGAACATGCCTTGGAGTAGCGTTGTCCACTGATTCTCATTTTGAATCAGGGACTCCGTGCTGGCGGCATTTCGTCTGTCTCGTGCCGCTGCGTCAGCCTCAGCAGTCTGCTGAGCTGGGGCTGCCGCCTCATTGGCCAGCCGCTGACGTTCTGCCTCTGCTGCCTCCTGCTGAGCCTTGGCGGCATCTACGTCATCTGTGAATACCTGTAGCCGCCCAAGGTAGTCAGCCAACGGTTCATGGGCCCCTTCGACCGGACATGCGGGAAGAACTCCGGTGAGAACCGGTACTGTCAATGCTGTACTTGATGCCACTGGAGTCGTCCGCTTGCTGAGCCGCTGTTGCTGATACTTGCTTCGTGGAGGTACCACAGGACGGGTACGAACTGCGAGCCTGGCACTGCGTCGTGGCAGTGCCCCGGTGTCCTGTTCCATCGACATCAGCTCTGGCCGATGTCGTATTTGAGAAATCCCGGTGGTCACAGATTACGGGGAGGGTAGGGAGAGTGGGAACAGGGGTAGAACAATCAAGCACTTCGCAAACAGTCCCTGTCCCACTGATGGACTGTAGACACCTAATCAAACAGAAAAAAATAAATTTCCCGCAAACAATTCAAAAATTCGTAATAAGAAAATAATAATGAATTATTTAATCAATAAAGTTTAATTAATGATTAATAACGAAATACTAATTCTTAATGATAGTCAATAAAACAATGTTTGCAATAATGATTTCTTAATGATAATCAATAAAACAATATTTGCAATAATGATAATGAACGAATTTGAATTGTATCAAGATTAGGTATCCGTTGAGATCATCTTTGAGTCTGGGAGTTCACCGTTAATTAGTGAACTACCCGAAAGTTGCAATTTTGAGGGTCAGATTCGGATTAGTTTGCCAAAAAAAAATTTCGGAAAAATCCGGAGAAAAACACTCGAATTCTCAAAAACGTGACATTTCGGGAATTTCCACCGGCAAAATCCGATTTTTAAAGGCCTAAATCCGTTTTCGGAATTTCTCAAACAAGGGAAAGAAATAAAAAATTCGCGAAAATTTCGGAGTCCAACCCTAATTTTCCGTGATTGCGCGGAATTTCCGGATTTACGGTTCGAAAACGTTCGAATTTCCCAAGTTGGTTGAAAACCAAAAATTTTCGTAACCCTAATTTCCCATACTGCAAATAAAACGGAAATGCCGATTTAGAAAAAGAAATACAGGATTAAAATCAGCATGCTGGATTATAAAAAACGAAAACCGAATTGAAATCCGAATACCGAATTAAACAGCGTACTGATTTAACCTAATCACGAATTACTAACCAGAAATCCGAATTACACAGCATGTCGGATTAGTATCAATCTATCGGAACCTAATTTAAACAGCATACCGGAGTAAAACAGAAATCCGAATTACAAGTCCGAATACCGAATTGAAACGGAAATGCCGAAATAAACAGAATACCGAAAAGAAAAAAAAAATTTGCAACTTTGAAACTCGATAGTAATACAGAGCTGATTTGGAAGATTGAAGAAGCAATCTAATTCCTAATCAGACTTACCTGGTGAGCAGATCCGTAAAATGGTCTGCTCCGATACCAAAACTGTTACATACTCGTGATTTTATCAACGAGCATGGGGCAGAACCAAAGATCAACCAATATAGGATGAGTATGTATGCAACGGAAGTCTGATAAACGGCACATAGACTGACTCACATAGATATCACTCCACACACATACAATCGTGAGATGGTGGGGTCTGAGCCATACATGGACGATGCTCAGCCCCGTACACACATACACAGATGAAAGGTGGGAGGAGAGACGAAGGAGGTGGGAGATGTAGGTAGCACCAGAGGTCACCGAGATAGAAACCAGTAGGTCACCGATATGGTAATCCAAAATGTCATCGAACAAGATCAAATGTCGCGGACAATAAGTCACCAATGTCGGAGATACAGAGTCCTAATGTAACCGGTGTCCAATCTGTGATGCAGCCGAGTATCATCCCCAACAATCTCCAAGTAGTACCACAGCCTCACCGAAGTCCAACACTGATCTCTGTCCAACTAGTATAAGTCTCCAGTCTGAAGAAGAAGAAGAAGAAGATGAAGTCTGAAGAAGAAGAAGAAGAAGATGAAGTCTGAAGAAGAAGAAGAAGAAGAAGGGAGTCGAGGAGGAGAGAGAGAGAGAGGGGACTGGCGATGGGAGGGAGGAGAGAACCTCCGGCTCCCGATACCTYAGGCGGCTATGGYCGCCGATATGCTCAGTCGCCGCTGCTGCTGCTYCGCTCGCTGCCGCTGCYGCGCTACTGCTGCTGCCGCTGCTCCTCGTACTCCTGCGCTAAGAATAGCRCTAGYGCTCTGGCGCTAACCATAACRCACCGCTTAGAGTGCCKGTGGTTCGATCCTGGAATGAGGCTGGACCGGTACCTTTTGTACCGGTGGGGCAGAGGCCGGCCTCTATGCTGCGAGGCCTGGCCGTGCCCTGAACCGTCAAGATTGGCGGTTCAGCCCCAACCGGCGGGCGKCAGCCTCAAGAGCGCCGCCAGGCCCAAACGGTAATGTCGTTTGGGCCTGCCCGCCGGGTCTGGTCCGAGATGAGGCCTTTACGGCCTGTAGTACCCCCACGGTCGGGCCTTTAGGCCCTACTGTGTCCCTCTGGCCCTAAGTCGGGTCCGGTAGGACCCGTGTGGCGTCGAAGATGTAACACTATCACTGCTGTTCGGTCCAAGTTACCTGCCCATTGGTAGGGAAATGGTCCTGAGTGCTGGTCACACTGAGGTAGGATAGTGGGATAGGGGGTACGCTAGGAGTATTGACGTGAGGATGGGATGGGAGGTGGTCTCATATTCCAGGACACCCACGGCCTACTGCTCCAGGTGATCACTGTGTACTCAGTGACTGGCCTCTACAACACCATGGACTTAAAAAAAAAAAAAAAAAAAGGATGACCACTTTACGAATGAGCCTTCCATTTAACAGGCATTGCCTGTTTGACGGGAAACAGAAAGTTGTGAACATTCCGAACCCCGTCCGACGTATCCTCTATTTGCCTCTGTGGCTTCGAGTCATTTGCCTCCACATCCCAAACATCCCAGACGTGGGTGGCTCCTTTTTGTACTCGTCACTTTCCAAACCCTGTGTCTCCCTGTATGCGGAATATTGGATTACCTTCAGCTGTGCACATGAGGTGATTCTCAAAAAGAGACTGGATGAGTATGTCAGCTCTTGATCTGCTTATTAAACCACCTGTACATTTCCCAGCCAATTTTTCAGAGTTGCAGTGTGCATGCTGCCGTGACTCTCGGCAAGTACTGGGGCGCCATTTCGCTGGACATCCATCCAGGCAAATTGGGCCTTGCGTGCGACCCATTTTGCCTGGATGGATGTGCCGTGAAATGGCGTTCCGGAAGGTACTTCCCGAAATTCACGGGAGCATGCACACCAGGACTCTGAAAACATTGGCTGGGAAACGTAGTGGAGGTTCAAGAAAGGATCTCGATAACAGATCCAAACATCCGAGGGTCCAGTAACGCCCCATTCTTGAGCGAGCACATACTCAGCGAGCATGATCCACGGCAGGGTCAATCATTGCCCTGACAATCCATTTACTCATTAATGCTTGACTCTGAATTTCTGGGTCTAGAAGACCCAGTCCTCCATCGTTCCTCTTTTGTGTAACCTTCCACCAAGCTCTGGGCTAAGCCCAGGCCAGGCATTCTGGCCAGTGCTGGCAATGCGGAAGTGCTGCTGCGCTCTCGCTTGATGCTGCGCTGCTGCCAAAGGCGCTGACGGGGTGCGTAGTGGTGAGGAGGGGCGCTGCAGAGCAGCGGGGCTCAGGCAGCCATAGCCGGGCTGCTGGGCGCCAGGGGGTGCAGCGGGCGATCTGGTGGTCTTCAGGGAAGGAGGCGAGTGTGGGATAATCAAGGTCTGATTGAGGGTGACGAGATACGTACCTGGTGCGTGAAGAGAGGTCGGCTATGGAGTTGACAGTCATGTACATTGGTTTTCGAGAGTCGAAGTGAGCCTGTTGCGTGAACCAGCTGTAGGTAGGATAGTCAGGCACAGTAGGTTGGGCGCTGGGCGCCAGACAGAGAGGAGCGACTTTGGATACTGTGTTGGTGTGGCCTACGGGCTTGAACATTGGCTCATTACTTCATTGTATTGCTCTATATGGATGGTTTCTCGGTGCATTTTGTACTCTCTGCTTTGATACGACTACCTGGACATCTGTGTGATTTCGCGACTTGGTTTTCTGTATATCGTTCGCACTCATATTCCTTGCAATGTGAGGAACAAGCCCTCAAGGAGCCCTATCAGAAATCACATGTTCTGGGCTAAGGCCCCCTGCAAGCCGAGTGCCCGCCCTAAGTGAAGGCGAGCCTGAATATTTGTCAGAGGCCAAAATTTGACATTTCCATATGTGGGTATTCAGGCTCTCGCAGCACGCCAGTTGGTTGGGTAGACGCGTGAGCCCCACTAAGCTGCGTCATACAGTTGGCCCAGGCCTTGACAGTTGCGCATGGGCACATACACACAAAGCAGGGCCGATACATTTGGAAAAGCAGTACTGCCTACGCACTTGCCTGGGAGCCCTGCACAGATGCAGCAAACAGCCCAAGTCCGGAGACTCAGGCCGTGCCCA